CAGGGTCGACATCTTCATGTACTTCGGTTCCTGCTGCTGACGTCAACAGGATGCATTGTCAATTCGTAAGCTGAGTTGTCGCTGTGTGATCGTAGTCCGGGCACTGAGCGCCAAGTAGGAGGAAGGGCTCTGGATACATGTGTTGGCGGTGGCGAGAGTATGCTCTCATTGACATTTCGATTCGCTGCTTTGGTTCTCCGTTGGTGGAATATCAGTGCATATTGCCTTCCTGGACAGTGTTCGACTTTCTGGCTTTCAATGTAATTTTGCATTCTGGATTTCTTTTCTTTTCTTTTCTTCTTTTTTTTCTTAAGTAAACAGTTCCTTATGGCCCTGGCTCCATTTCCATTCTGGGGAGCATCAGTCCGGTTCCTTTTCCACCGGCAAGTCACAATAAAATATATCGCCTTTGTGGACAGTGTTCGACTTTCTGGCTTTCAATGTGATTTTGCATTCTGGATTTCTTTTCTTTTCTTTTCTTTTCTTTTTCTTTTTCTTTTTCTTTTTTTTTAATTAAACAGGTCCTTATGGCCCTGGCTCCATTTCCATTCTGGGGAGCATCAGTCCAGTTCCTTTTCCACTGGCAAGTCAGAATAAAATATTACATCATGAAAACACACTCACACTTCCTTCCGTCTGGCCGAAGGAACCCTGACCAGCATTGATTACTCCTGCATAACGAAGGATTGACTGTCAGCTTGCCTTACTTCCACCTTTCCTCTCAGGTCCATTGCCCAAACCTGTCGGATGACTAATAAAGAGCAAGAAAGGTAAGAGAAACTACGGAAGTTACAGTCCCGGAATTCGCCCTTCAATATTATGTGACCTGTGATGGATCTTGTCCTTCTGCTGGCTGGAATCTCTGTCTTCTCCACCCTGCTTCTGAGTTGTGCCAGTCTTTCCATCGTATGTGAGAGACATTTATCTCTGCCACGTTGCCCCTTGCAAGCCACACCTTAGTAAATTTCGTCTTGATTCTTCTCTGTTGTTCTTCATCATCTGGCATGGACTCTCGTCTTGTGCCATTTACAAAAGGATCTCTGCCTGAATCAAAGTCCTTGTCTCCGCCCAAACTCTCTCCCTTGGAGTTGAGAGTCCCTCAATGGTTCTACAACACCTTTCCTTCCAGATGGAGCAAAGCATTACCTTTCTGAGCATTCGAAGCCACGTTTTCTCTGTCTTGTCGAATTGAGCTGGGATGTTAGTCCATAAGAGGAGTTGGATGGGGTGTTCAGGGAGGGGAGTTGAGAACAGGGAGTCCCAGAGATCCGAGGCCCTCGCCCAATATTCGGTCGCCTCTCTACATCGTATCAGGCAATGTAGCATATCTTCTGGTTCATTTTCTGAACACACCGCGTAGGGTCATTCTTGCTTCTTCTGATGTGTAGCCACTGGTTAACCGGTAGAGCTACGTATGAGATGAGACATTGGAGGCTTCTGATTTTGACTGGACGAATTGAATTGAATTTTTTCCATGGCATTTGTGGTATCTGATTAGCATCCTGACCTATTAGCTTCTGCCATCTGTTCTTAATCATAGGGTCAGGATCCTTTGTTTTAAGGAGTAGGTTGTAACCCAGTTTGACTCTGTATTCTTGAATGGCAACATTAGTTTTGAGGCTTCTAGTTCTGTCTGGTGTCGAAGCCCACTCTGCTGGATCAAATTCCAAGTCTTGAATCGCCGTATCCATTCTGAAGATTGTTTTTGGCCATGACCCCAATACTCTGACTTTTCTGTACAAAAGGGCTTAGGATTGTTCTTTCCACCTCTTTATTCAGGATAGATGGAGGGCCTTGCGTGGAGGGGGTAATTGGGAAGGAGGTGAACACTGCCAGGGTATCCGACCCTTGCTGCTTATGGGAGAATTGATAGGCCCTTGCGGGGGTTAAATCCTGCACCGTCACTCCCCATTCACCCGATTTCCAAGTTGAGCCTTCGCTCAACAACTCCTTCCAGCCTTCTGGGATGCAGTTGATAATGGATTGTTGATTCTCGTCACGTCGGTGACATCCTTTGAGCTGGGAGGCAAGTTCCTGTTCTGTCACCCAATCCTTATTCTCCTCGTTCCATAGATGGCTCACCTTCCAAACTGCATGTTTGATCCATGAAAGCCATCTCCTTCCTCTAGGCTTGAGGGATAGTTGGTGATCACTTTCATCCCTCACCCACGGATTACCAAACAGGGGTTGCCTCAGTACCTCTTCCTTGGATTTGGGTCTACCCACTTTCCTTGGCATGACTTCCCGCCATATTTGCAGCAACGCAGTCCAATATGGTGTTGGGGGTCTGGCTTCATTTGGATCGGTTCCTCTTCGTTGATTTTTGCGCCCTGTACTTGGACTCCATTCCTTGGTCATTACCCGAACAGGCCGGGCATATTTGCTGGTGTGGCTGTAGGTGCTAAGCCGTTGATGCTATCCAAGGCCAGTTTATTCCATGCCGTACCAGGTTTAGTTAGTAGTTTGACTATCCATTTAACTTGTAAGGCTTTGGTTTCCTGTTTGGGGTCTATGATACCAAGACCTCCCTCGGCTGGTTTCCTTGTGATGTAATGCCGTGCTATCTTTGGTATGCAATTCTCTTTGTTGGGGTCACCCGACCACAAGTATGCTCTTGCTTTACGGTTGAGTTCCTTGATTGTATGGTCCAGAACTGTCCAGATTGACGCTATCTACCACATCATTGAAAAAATAGATGTGTTGATGGCTAATGCACGCCCAGCAATGATGTGAATGTACTAACCCATTTACCCAGTTTGTTAATTTGTTTGGCTAGGATATTTTGGGCCATTTGAGGGTGGAAGCCATCCGTTGTTAGCAAGACGCCTAGATATCGCGTAGGTGTCTTCGGTGTCTCCCATGTCATGTCTGCCTCATGGCCTCAACGTTGGGGAATCTCCTCCTCCGATAGCCACCAGCCGATTGTTTTCTTCCAATTAATCTTCATTTCTGATGCCAATTTGAATGCTTCCATTGCTCTTACTAACGCGTTGAACGACGAGTCTGAAGCTCTTATAAGGACCGTGAGATCGTCTGCAAACATAATTACTGTCCGGAACTGTAGGTGATGGGTTGTTCCTACATTGACCTCGGTTAGTCT